ATCATGTCACTTGTTTGTGTGAGTTTTACTGTTTAGTACTTGGGTTCTTAACTGGAGAGCATGCTGGGTTAAATGTGCTCTGTAAATAAAAGTAACTTGACTATTGTGTGGAAATAAAAATCGCTTGTCTAAATCTGATCTAACCCTGTGATCCAGCATGTTCTTACATGCCTGTGGTTGTAGTACTGACTTGTTCCAGCTGGGGGAGATGAAACACAATCAGATTTCTTGAACATAGCAGTTGGGGCATCACCAAACTGCTATGTTTTTATTAATATTATTTTATTTAACAGATTAATTGTAAGGGACAAGTGCAGAAAAACACTGACAGTTGAAAAAAGCAGGCAGATGTCTGCACATGTGGATACAACCAAAGCATGTGGCAAAATCACATGGTACTGTTTAAATGTGTGTCCTATAATAGGAAACAAGAGAGCAGTAACATCCATACTTTGAAGTGAACACAAATTGTAGTTAGTCAGTGGTATACCTGCAAGTCTGGACTCATTTTAACCCAGACTTTTGTAAGAGATTCTTTTAACATCTTAAATCCTCTTTAAGCATAGAGAGCTCAGTGAGCTTTTAAGTGCATATGAAGTGTTTAATTCATCAGTTTTCTTCTGGCTGATCTGAGGTTATGTTACAAAATATGAAAAACTACATTTATGAACAAATTGGTGTTGTTTCAGCTCACACTGGCAGTTGTTTTTTTTTAATCTCTCTCTTTGAGTTCTGCTTCTTCATTTCCAGCTGTGATTCATTTTAAGCTACATTTCACTGTATAACAGCCCTATTATTTTTGGGGGGAGGGCTCATTTCATGTGAACTGTTTCTGGTGAACAAGAGTAGCGTGTGGAGAGGACTCATCTACATCTCTCTTGCTGGAGCCTTTTGTGTGATTCAGCTGAAGAGCCAAAGTCCTAATTTCTCCACAACCCCCCATCAGGGCAGTAAAAAAAAGAAAGGCCTCACCCTCCACGGAGGTCAGTGGAAAGGTTACACACGATTCAGGCCGGCCTTTTGGACACTTCAGGGGTCAGTGGGGATGGGCATGGGTGGTAGCAGATAAAGCCCTCAGCCAATGATGGTAGGTTTTGGGGAAAGCTGGCTCCCCTTCACCCACACCCTTACCAACATTCATAACCCAGTAATGACTTTTACTTCATTGATCTGGCCGCAGAGCTTAAACATCACTCCACCCACCAAACTGCAGCATATTGGCAGGTGCTGAAACTAAATTCTTTATTGATCCTCACTGACCATGAATGAGGTCAGACCCTCACTTTCCCATGTTATGTAAGAGACGTGCCCACCACTTAAACTGAGAATGTGGCCAGTTATTGGATTATGGTACAAGTACAGCAAGGGGAAACCTCACCAGTCATGTATGTGTATGTAAACTTAAGAGTAACACACAGATGTTTGTTTGGGGTTTTTTGACCGTCTTTAATAGAAGAGCTGATAATCAATTTTATGGTTGGGTAATAACCTTTCTATGAAAATATATGGAACAAAAACATCTAATTGTGTCACACGCACAATACTGCAATTATAAATATTACACAGGAGCTATGCCAAACCCTGTACACTGAAGAAACGTGATCATGCATCATTAAAATTGTGTTGCTGTGGTTGTGGAGAATGCTGTGGTCCTCTTGTTGAGCAGTTTTGGGTGGATATCACTGAACAACTGATATGGATCAATATGGATCAAATCTTGTTCAGAAATATGATAGTAGGGTTGGGGTTTTTTTTGTAATTTTGCCTCTGTGCACCACAGTGGATTTCAAATCAATCCACCAATCAATATGTGATTGAACTGCAAACTTTCAGCTTTATTTAAAGGGGATGAACTTAAGTATTGCATTAACTCTTCAGGGAAGACAGTGTTTCCTCGATATTTCAAAGAGCAATAAGCAGATTTTTTATTGTAGTTTTAAATATGAGGTGTAAACAGATGCTGACAAGATGCTAAATTCACAACATCTAAAGGAGTGAAGAACAAAACAAGGAGTTTGATGTATAAAAAGACTTAAATCAACAATAAAAATGTATGAATGTGAATTCAGAGGGTTTACAGCAAGGTGCAAACCCCTGGACAAGAAGGCCAGGTTAGACTTTGCTAGAAACAAGGTTCTTTCCCCCTTTTTTTCCAAATTCTTTGGACAAATGAAAGCAGGATAAATGATTAAAGGCTAAACATTACACCAGAATAAAGGGAAGAAAAAAAGTATGGAGAAGCAAAGGAACAGCTCATGTTCATGCTATGGCATGGCTGACAGTTGAACTGGGTCACTGGGGTTTATACATTATGTGACTGGTGACAGAAGTACCAGGACTTGTGAGGTGTGCAGGGCCATACTCTCTTGCCTAGAAGGAAATGAGCAAAGAAAGGAGGCAAAGATATGGGATATTCTTCAAAGGCCAAATTAGTCACCTGATCTCAACCCAAGAGAGCATGCTTTAAGTTATTAAATACAAGACTGAAGGCAGAGACCCACAGATTGGTTCTTTCTTGGTCTCTTACTGTAGTCAGTGTCTCCTTCTCAATAAAAAATCCTGATGTACTGATAAACCCAACCAGTTACAGAGGAGTTCTGTTTTCATTTTTCCCCTTCTTCCTTTTCAGTTTTCAGATCACAGCTGGCCTGTGGCCCTGCTGCTTTATAGAGATTCACAAAGGGAGGAAGGGAAGGAGCATGTGGAGGTGGGGGGTTTGATCTCTCCCCACAATAAGTGATGGACATCGGATCAATATGGACATTGACACAGCAGCTGTCCTGCTCCTATCGGTGCTTTGTCATAGTTGCAGAGCTCAGGTTTAAAGGACAAACTCATTTCCATTAACATTATTTTTTCAGTCTGAAAAGTCTGGCCTCTGATACTGAGGGATCTGTTCCCATCAATATGACTGGAGTTTGTTGATAAGGGTGGAGCAAGTGATGTTGGTGTTGCTCTGCTGGGCAGTATCATGGGTGCTGGGCTGATACTACACAGAAAATGACTGTGAATCATCTGACCATGACGTTATTGATACAAATCGTGCAGTATTAATGGGCCAAAGAAGACAATTCAGCTTTTATTAGAGCAGAGCAACAATATGTGCAAATTCAGCTTGAAGATTAATCACTGACTTTGAAAACTCATCAAATAAGACATCAGTATTTTAGTTATGTGTACTCATTCGTCCTGGAGCTTCTGCACCTCCACTAACAGCTTTCCACAGCAGATGAAGGCTTCTCAGTTATCATGTTACTGTGTTTTACTAAATAGTCTATAAAACGCATTAAACACTATTTATGATCACCAGCTGATCTCTCTCTAAACTATAATGCTGCAAATGGTTGATGTTGTGTGTACGGAGAAGGCTAGTCAGATAATAAAGAGTTATTTAATGCTTTTTTTTTTTTTTTTTTTTAAGTAGTTGTACCTTATCATTTACATTACGGTGCCATAGAAGTGTTAAACAAATAATCCTAGCTTCAGACACAAAGTCAGCTAAGTTTCTATATGCCATCATCACTGCACTAAAACATTTCTCTGTTTCTAACAGGCATCTGTTTGAATACAGATATTTACACATCACGATAAGGACATTACCGCAGAAAACTTTACCTGTCATCATGCTTTGTTTTTGAAAATCTGCCACATGCAAAAGCATGTTTTTTGTTTTTCCTTCAAGAACTGAACTTTGACCTCACAGAATTATATTATCCCAGTAGGGCACATTGGTCTCAGTTTGCGGGCTTTACTGGGGCTTCCAGATTTTCTAAAAGTAGAACGGGAGACAGTGGCTTCAGCGTTCAGTTCCTCTCCTGTGAAACCAGCTCCCATTTTGGATTTGGGAGACAGACAGCCTCTCTACTTTTAATATTAGAAATACAGAGTCAGGTGACTCTGAACCCTATGTTGGTGTTTTTGTGTTATTTTTAAAACCTTTTTTATATTCTTTTCTGTCCATTTTCATGGCAACTTTCATGGTCTGCCTGTATGTTTTCCTATTACAAAAGTCCAACTTAATTTGGGCTTGCCTGAGACACAGCCGACTGGGAACCACATCTTTTGCCACACTCTGTGTTGGATCCCTTCCATTGTTTTTAGCTGGCAGCGCTCATGTTTTGACCATGATTCCTTTTGATCACTCAGGTGCAACAGCTTGTTAAAGATGGCAAACACTATAACTCAGGGATATCATATTAATTTTACATTGTGAACCACATTAAGCTCACTTTGATCTTATGTGAACAGGACCAGTGCAACTTTCTGAACTTTCTGAAACTTTCTAATTGAGTTTAATCACACATTTAATCTCTGAGATATTTCAATATATAAAGTACAATTTTAACAGTAGAGCTTGTTTTTTCTACACAGTCAAACAGATACCGCTTAAGCCCTAAATTATAAGAAATAACTATGTAAATTTACTGAAAATGTTCTGGTAGCACATTGCACAGACTGTCCTGCAATAATAAACCTGAAAATTTGTTCTTCTTTAATTGAATTTTTCTTTTTTGTTTTTTCATTTTCTTTTTGCTGTGAACTCACTGCAAAAATCACAAATCAGAATCAGAATTAGAAAGACTTTATTTATCCAAAAGGGGCAATTAAGGTACAACAGAGCAGCATGACGTTGAAGATAAGGACAGGGCATAAACAGGCAATAAGAGTGAGAGTATAAATACACAGAATATACAGTATATACACAGTTTTAAAATTACACAGTTAAATTTCTATAGTAATGTTTTCCCAGGTGTAGTGTCCGTGCCTTGCCACTAGGTGGCGCCGCACCACACGCTGTACTATGGATGTGATTAATTGGTGTTACCGTCCACCCTCGGCCGGACGAGGGAAGCTGTCCTCCTGCACCTCTGAGTAGGGAGTCCTCTTCGTCAGTAGCAGAGCAGCTCATGTGGAGGAAGCAGCAAGGACAGAGAGCAGCTAGCATGCGCGGACAATTCACGTAAATGGCGCGATTTAAAAGGAGTTTATACCAGCGTCTGCTGTTTGTCGTTTTTCTTCCAATCACAGGTAAGAAGCAGGACCACTTTTACTCATTTTAACCTGTGAGTGAGCGGCGTCCTGTATGGACATCACTGACTGTCCCGTGAGGACGTGTGTGTTAGTCTGCGGACTTTAACGGAAGCTCGCAGATTCAGTTTAACGGTTTTAACTTTTAGCTAGCTGCCTAAAATAAACCGAAGACACGGAGGCAGTTTTTAAACATATTTGGTAAAAAGTTTTATTTTAAAAGCCATAAAACATGAGTATTAAAGGCAATATGTCCTATTTTGGTTCATTCAACAGTCAGTCTTAACTTCAAATGTTCACCTGGTTAATTGTAATCTATTTACAGGTAGATATAAAAACTGTATTATCAGGGGTGTCAAACATGGGGCCCGGGCGCCAGAATCGTACAGCTAAAGACTCCAGGTTGGCCTATTAGATAACTTCGAAAATGTGAAGGAAGCCATCATTTTTCGACTTTTAATTGTATTTTCATATGTGGCTACACCTTTTATTACTAACACAGACCTCCTCCATGGTCGTTGATACTGCGCAAAACAAAATAAGTAACAGATTAACAATTAAATGACAGAAAGTTTCATTTTTTAAGTAACTACTATAAAAAGCCATCATTTTTGCACTAGGTTGACTGTTAAAAAACAAAAAGATGACATTCTGTCAATAAACAAGAAATATCCATTTTATAATTACAGTATAGTTACAGCTCTTCACAGTGACCCAACAAAGTTTTTTTTTCTGTAAATTTACATGTTTATCTCTTACAGTTTAAGCCCAAAGCATCATTTCTTTGTCATGTGGAAAAACAGATAAAGAGGAAGTTCCCCCAGTGTAAAATGAGTTTAACATCCCTGCGTTAGAACATCTGAATATACTTTAAAGGTATCACAGAGTATTAGTAGAAACTGTGAGTCAGGTGTTGAGCTGAAATCAAAGATCAGATCCAGCTACCAAAGCAAAATAAATACATATAACAGAGTTGGTTCATGAGTAATATGAGAAAAGATTCTTATACATTTTATAAGCTTGTAAGATGTAAATATAGTTGCACGTTGTCCTGTTAATGCTTTAAACTACAGGCTTGGTCTAATAGGACAATCTGTTTCATCTTCAGCTTTATAGCCTTAAGTAGGTGGTGCAGGAAGACCTCAAGCTTGAGTGTTATGACTATACTGGACAGTAGACTTCCTGCTGGCAGGCCTACAAGCCTTTTATATGTGATTTTTCCCTTAGTAGGTGCTGTAAACTGGCTCCACAGACACTGATGAGACCCAGCTAGAAATTATTAAACGTCTTTAATTTTTTTTTTTTTTTTACATCGGGCTGGTCTTAAACTCTTTAACTGGTGTACAAATGCTGTTAAATTCCTTAAATCATAACAACTCTCTTCCTGGTCTCTCTACCTGCAGGTGTGTTGTGCTTTAGTGAGTTGTTTTTCATCAAGGAGCCCCTCGATGTCACCGTCATGCGGAAAGAAGCAGCTATTTTGGACTGTCAGGCGCATGGAGAGGCGCCCATCGACGTCAAATGGCTCAAGAGCGGAGTACAAATCGCGGAGAATGAGCGGGTGTACCTGCTCTCCAACGGCTCCCTTTTTATTTCAGAGGTGGAGAGCAGAAGAGGAGACAAATCAGATGAGGGGTTTTATCAGTGCCTTGCTCAGAACAAGTATGGAGCAATCCTGAGCCAGAAAGCCCACCTTACAATCGCAAGTGAGTATCAGGGATATGAGTTGTGTAATCTAGCATGATTTGCTGTTATACCCATATTTATTTGATGCTCAGTCTGGTCTGGTCTGGGCAGCTTTGGTGGCAGCAAGAAGATGGACAAAGTCTTCAAAGTTAGAGCTTAAAAGGGATGCTGCTGGGAATTGAGGAAAATGCCCATTGGTGTGTTAATGAAGGACCAGGAGATTTGAAAGGTTAGGAGCAGTGTGGGATACTGGCTCTCCAATGCGAAAGAGCAGATGACCCCTATTCACTGGCCCTGGCTTTCATGTTATTGCACCCTGATGGCTCGAGGAATTGTTCTTTTTGAATGCTTTCTCCTCCTGCGTTGTGCGAGTTGGCCTCGTATTTTCAGGGGGAGGCAGGGGAGACTTCAGACAGAGTTGGTCTTTTGGCACCTTATATCTTCTTCCACTCACAGGCCCTGAAATTTGCTGTCTTGTTGTGCCACTTTGTAAAATGTGTTTATTTATTTATTTTTAACCTGCCATGAGTGCGTTTTCTATTGCTTTTGATCAATTAGTAACCCAAAAATACATACAAAAAATTATTTAATTTTTTTTGCAGTGCTGTAGGGAAGGGGATTTTAAGAGCAGGTTGTGCCAAAAAACTGCAATTGGCATGTGTTACATAACAGTTATTGTGTTTACATTAATTATTCTGGAGCGGTACCACAGGCAGTGCTTTCTGATAGAGCTCCCAGTCATAACTCAGACATTTTCTGGTGTTTAAAAAGTGTGGCTTGATTAATTGATTGAGTGGTTTAGTTTGCTTTATAGCTTTAAGTTAAGAGGTGATAAAGGCTGCCTGTAAGCTTTACTAGTTTGTTTTAAAACAGCACTTAGACCTGCTGGAAGGTCTATCTGGTAGCTCATAAAGTTTTCACATACCTGAGAAATGCTCAGTTGAAGGACACAGAGGTAGTAGTGGGGGTTGTTGTAAGTGGTTCACACACACACACACACAAATGTGAATTGCTGCTCTCCCAATACTGCGGCTTTACCCTGAGTGTCTAAATGACCAAACTTTATTGCAGGCCTTAGCAGGTCAGTAGGCATCGTAGGCTTAACCCAATTGTCTTCTGCCTCACTGCCCCGGTGAAAGAGTATAAAGCTTTTCACTCTCTTTTTGTCCACTCCCGGCTCACAAAAGAAGAAGGCATTCTTCGTGGGCAAAAGTGGACAGAGCTGCTGGAAGTGGTCACCACAGCAAGGCTAATTGCACTAGTCGTAAAAGTTAAATATTAGTAGATCTGCATTTTGATTAATTATCATATGACGTGCCTGTTGCATGGGGGTCTGCTCATTGATGTCTGAATTTTGGAGTCTTTTCATGTGTTCCTCAGCTGATTTATGCTGCTTTTGCAGACGTTCTGCTCCTTGGTAGCTTTTCCAAACGTTGCTCCATCTCTGGATGGATGTTCGTTGTTGTTTGAGAAATATGGTGGTGATGGAAGGTAACTTTAAACACAGGATCCTGAAGCACAAAGGTGAGAAGGGATTTGGCCTTGATGAAAAGGAATGTGACACCTGAGCCTCATCGTGTGACTTTTGTCAACAGACCTCAGATTGATGGGGATTTCAGTACAGGGACTGACTCTTGAGTTGTCTCCCCAGAAAAATATACCACTACAAGTGAATTCTGTATAAAAATAGGAAAATTTCCAATTTTATTTTTAATAAACATTTACAGCTCTGGTGTATTTGTAGCTCCCATACTGATGTAATGTGGGCACTGTCTGCTAGTGAAAGGATATCCTCATCCTGGTGAAAGCTGATGAAGTGAAATTAAACAGTTTATTCACTTAAAAATTTCCAGTAGGAATAAACACAGTGAAAATGTACAGTTCATTGACTCCAGTGGTAGTAGTTGTGAGGCCTAGGAGACACAGATAGGCTACAGGTACCTGTTTATGGAGGCTTCTCAATCAAAGTGGCCACGCCCCTAACCATCCTCTACCATCCAGGTGGATGAAATGCAGCTGCAAACATGCTGTAAATTTGGAAATTTTAACATGGATGTCTGTAGGGATTTATGTATGTTGTAGTAAGCCTTGAGTGGCCATTAGAGAAACTACGGTGTTTTGAAATTTGTGGCTCAGTTCTTGCAGCTCGTAAGGTTGATACTTGGTAGATCTGAGGACTAGACTAAGACAATAAAATTATGGCCAGTGTGTTAGGAAGTGAATGCCTCATGGTCGCTGTTTTCTTCCTCTGGCACACGAACTGATCTTGATTCCCATCCCTACCTGCTGTCCAACAAGAAATAATAATAATAATTTTTGTTGATGAAATGGGCAAAAATAGCAGGAAAATGCATAGAACTCTGTTAAGTCAGATAACAGAGATTATGATAACAGTATCCTGGGTTAGTGGTTTGTTGAACTTTTTTCATGTTTATAAGAAAACAAATTTTACCAAGTGAAGTTGTCACTGTTTAAGAGAGTTTGGCATGAATTCTTACTCTGGGTAGTCTTCACTTTTTTATGCTCATGCCTTAAAGGAGGTATTCTAAGGAGCTTCTGCAAAGTTTATTTTACCTCGCTGGTGTGTCCACAGCCTGCAAGGTCAGGACTGTGACATTATTTTGAGTTGCTAAGGAATGCATCTGACTTGCACCAGCTTGGCACATTTTGAAGACAAATGCAAACCTTACACAGTGTGAACTGCAATGTGAGTGAAGGAAATGCCCTTAAGTGAGACAACTCAAACCCAAGATTTTTGCTTTTCTCCTCTGCTGGTTACAAAAGGTTACCATGGTTCCCCTGAACACCGGGCCCTAAGGTCAAAGGTTTCTTTTAACTGTTCAATAGATGGAGGTGCAGTGGGATGCAGAGTAGGCCTAAAATCTGTCCTGCAATAATGCTAGGTGTGCATCTGGCTTGATTAGTTTCCTTCATAGTGATCATGAGCATTTATCTCTCATATGTTTTATTTCATACCACAACAAAGGATAAAACTGTTGCCAAAACCAGAACACGGGTATTTACAGAGTGACTTTATTAACTCTGTTCTCTGCTAGGGAGTTTCAAGACAATGAAGCCACTGTTTGTGAGTGCAGGGTTGCTGTTGAGTGATTGGAAAACTTTGCAGCAGAGATAAGGAATTGGAGAAGGGGGATGGATGCTCTTTCCAACACTGCTCCCCCACTGCCCATTCGGAGCTTTGAGAGGTCACACTGCTCATGGGAATAGCTCTTTGTTTAGCCAGGCCAGTGGTCACTTGACTGTCCGACAGCCTGCATGGAGCAGCGCCACATCTGCCATGCAGCTAGTGATTGATTTTGTGGGTTTTTTCAGTCTTGCATTCTTCTTCTTCTTATCAGCCCTTTTTTTTTTTTTAGAGCCTGTATCAATGTTCAGTAGGGCCAGTGATCATAGTAAAGGACTCATCACTCTTCATAATTAAATGATGATGCTTTTCAATAGTGCTGCTGGAATTGGTTTATTTTAGTCTCAGCACGTGGTTCACTCCAGTTAACAAGAATCAGGCTCATAAGAAGAGTAGATTTAAGGTAACCTAACTCTACTTAGAAAAGTCATGGAAAGTGCATGTTGTTGATTTAAACTGTGTAACGTGCTTTTCTGCAAATCTCTAGAAAGCTAGAGGTGCAGTATTATTCAAATTGACATAATGGAAATAATCTTTTTCAAGTAAAAACAATAAACAAGCAACAGTAAACTGCCATAATGACCTTTTGTGTGGTGGGAATTAAAACCACAGCTTTTATAACTGCTTATCCAATTAAATAAGACAGAGAAAAGACAATGACCTTTCAATTCATGTTATCTGTCAATTCTGGCTGTTGTATATTGTAAAAAAGCAGCTGGACCATCTGTACGGTTTTATTTTGTTGTAACAGAAACAACTGGAAGATGTCACTGATAGAACAAAAGAATTATTATTATTATTATTATTGTAAAAAAACTATTTGAAAGCCTCACAGCTGGGGTAATGTGGTTTCTGGGTAGTTTTCCTGGCAGTTTGAGCAACAGGACTAGTTTGGGGTGGTCACACAGGACTCTGCCATAGTTGGGTGCTATGCAGGATTTGTGGAGGTCAGAGGTCAGAGGTGAGATTGCTGGGAAGGGCAGATGGTCGGAACTGCTTTGTCAAGCCTTTAGGGAATAAGGCTGAGGTATTTACTCTGTTTGATTTAGGGTAAAGGCCAAAATGTTACACCAGAGATTGTTATGTTGGTATATTTTGGTGTAGGAAAGGAAATTACACCACATAACTCACTGTGGAATACACAGAATAAATAGCCGAATCAGAAAATGTGTATATTTGACTGAATTAGAAAGATCTCGGCTGTTTGCCTTGATGATTTTATCTACGTCTTAGATGCCTCTTGGCAAACATCATCCCTCAAAGAGTCCGCCTCCTGTTTTTCAGCTTGGAACAGTGCACAACAAACCCTCAGCAGTTAAAGATTTTCTTCCTTCTTGTCTTAGTGGTTAATCAATAATCAATGATTGTCCCGCTGTTTGTCAATCGAGCATCACTTGAGTGAATGGAAAGGCAGAGTGGAGAGGCAAAGGATCAGAGCAGCTCATCTCTCATGCCCTGCAGTCATATCACTTCAGCAGGGTAATGGCATTTTTGTAAGAGGTTGTGTTAAAACAGGAGGGGCAGGAGAGGGCCTGGGAGAGGCGGTTTCAATGCCTCTCTCTGCTTCTGTCCTCACATCAAACATCACAGTGGAGCTAAGGAGGCAACAGCTTAAGGCTAATTAGATTAAACGTGTCCATGGTGACGACATCTGATCCTGACAACAGTTTGACTTTTGTCCAACGGTTCATCAGAAATGGATGAAGCCAGCAGCCATGCTTTTTTTAATGTTTTCATTCATGAAGTCCCTTGCATGACACAAAACCCCAAATAGTCCTAATAAAACTGCAATTTAGTAATTAGAAGTTAATTTTATCTCTGGAATCAAACTACAGATCCTTTCTTTCCTCTCCAAATGTCAGTTTGATTTGAAGCTGACAGTTTCTGTTAAATGTGTAAAAGTCATAATTCACTGAACGCAGTCTGAGCTCTGCTGGCAGCACTGCTTACACACAGCCATCCATCACCCCCTCCCCTATACGCACCACTGTGTGTTTATTGCAGTTAAGGGATTTCCTGGAGACTTTTCTCGAAAGCAGAGGTTATCATAGCACTGAGCTAAAAGAAAAGTATCCTGATAAGGATGTTAAATATCAGAGTGTAAAGGATTATAGCTGGCAATGAGTAATTCGGATATCATCCATTTCACTGTTTGGTTTATGCTTGTTTCCTCTGTGGTTTCTCTTTGTTTTCTTCCTTATTTGTAGTTTATTTGGTATTTCTCCATGCAGCATCTCCAAACGTCTCTTTGGATGTTTTTTTTTTTTGCAGTAAACATGTGACAGACGTGGTTTTAACTTGATATCCTGCTTCCTGTTCTTTTGTGTTTCTTTTGCTGAGTGCTGATGGCTCACTGCAGCAGAAGCGGCTCTGGGTGTGTGCTCAGAGGTTAAAGAGCACCACAGTGTATTTGTTTATCCATTGCTGAATGGGTGATGGTTTTGACTTAAAAACAGGCAACAGCTTTTGAAAATGGACCTACTGAAATTGAAAATTTAATTTGTTGGTCTGCTGCAAAAATCCTTTAGTCTACTGATTTGTCCATGTATGCCATTGATAATTTGATTTATTTATTATAGTAAATGTTAGCAAGCTGTGGGGCTCACTGTTCTGTCTGTCACAGACAAGAGTGCAATTGATTTCTTTTAACAAGCGACTGACCTCCTGCTTTTTAAGTAGAGGGGGGCATGAGGATCTGGGTGTCTTTCAGGATTTTTGTGACTCAAGAGGAACGGCTATTCAAAACTTGAATAGATTTAGACAAACATCTAAAAGGTCCTTATTGTATCTGGTTGGGTCTTATTTGCTTGCTGCTTGGCTGGTGGCTGACACTAGCTCAGTTTCAGAGAAACCCAATCCACGCAGGATGTAGCTGTTCCACTCCAGTCACCACCTTCCAGCAGCATGCTGCATGTTTACAGCTTCAGGAGCAGGAACGTCTGTTTTCTGATATCTGACTGAGATGGATGGATGATGTCATGATAATCACAAACTTGGATATGCTTGTAACACTTTTGTTTATTATTTTAATGATATACATTAATTCTCTGTACTTCTGCATACATAACAAGTCTCTAATCTGTCTCCTGGTTGGTTTTGTTGCAGGTATTTCCTCATTTTCAGTTCAGCCAACATCTATTGTGGCGACTGAAGGCTCAGTTGCCAGGTTTTCCTGTAAGACTGTTGCACACCCTCCTCCCATCATCACTTGGGAGTTCAATCGGGTCACATTACCCCTCGCCACTGAACGGTATGCACTCTGTTGTTTTCAGTTTAATTTCATCTTACTCATTTACATTATTCCTACACAAATTTTAGATAAGATTCTTTATTAACCATTATTTCATGTTGTCTAAGATGTTTCATATGAAATCGGTTCATATTGTAAGTATCATTGTTGTGTGGGTGCGTGTGTTTCTGTCTTTCAGAATCACAGTCCTGCCCAGTGGTGTTCTTCAGATTCAGGGTGTGCAGCAGGCTGACGCTGGAAATTACCGCTGCGTCGCCACCAATATTGCTAGTCGACGCCGAAGCACAGAGGCCACCCTCACTGTGACCCCAGGTGTGTTAGCCAGCTCACTTTTTGCAAACTTGTAATATTTAAGCACACAGTTGAGTTAAAAAGTCTGACTCTGAAGCAGTTGAAAGCCCTACAGCTCACCATGTGCACTAAAGCTGTCTTCTGCTCTCTCTCCACAGGTCCCAGACCGCAGCTTCCCCAGAGACCTCGTATCATCGCTTCACCACAGAACATCTCGGTGTCACTGCACCAAACTGCCATCCTGGAATGCATGGCCACAGGCAATCCCCGACCCATCATCTCCTGGAGCAGAGCAGACAGCAAACCTATAGATGTTTACAACACCAAAGTGCTGGGGAACGGCAACCTCATTATCACAGACATCAAGCCCCAGCATGGAGGCGTCTATTTGTGCAGAGCCACCACACCTGGCACAAGGAACTATACCATGGCCTCAGCTAATGTCACTGTGCTAGGTAAAAACAGAATATACTACTCAGGCTGTTCATGATTTCTATTTGTGATGATCACGTAGAATTGAACATATTGCTGTTCTTTTTCTAAAGCACCGCCTTCCTTGGTGGAGTGGCCTGAGAGCCTTACGCGCCCCAGAGCTGGCACCGCTCGCTTTGTGTGCCATGCTGAAGGAAATCCAACGCCTCGCATCACTTGGCTTAAGAACGGAGAAAAAGTTCACTCTAATGGTCGGATCAAGATGTACAACAGGTATGTTTCTCTCCAGTTCATTTAAAGAGTCATTACTGTGACCCCAAATTATCATGAGATGATATTTGAAAGTTCTAGTTGACCAGAACTTTCAAATATCACACAATGTTTTTCTTGTGACATTACCAATAAGTTTGATGTGTCACATGGCCCTCTTCCTATTGAAAAAACAAAAGTTGTATCCAAGATGGCCACCATGGTCACCACCCATCTTGAGGAGTTTGCCCCCTCACATATACTAATGTGCCACAAACAGGACTTTAATATCACCAACCATTCCCATTTTATGTATAAATGCCCCACCCTGTATATTTATAAATGTGCCAATGGAAATTTTGTTGGTTTCCTGAAAATTTTCACCTGAAATCATCTGGGTCCATACTCTTTATCTCTGGGTGTCTCCAGCAAACTAGTCATCAACCAGATCATCCCTGAGGATGACGCCATCTATCAGTGCCAGGCAGAGAATGAGCAGGGATCAGTCCTCACTATGGCGAGGCTCATTGTGGTGATGTCAGAGGACCGGCCAAGCGCACCCAGGAACATCCGAGCTGACACTGTGTCAAGCTCTGCCATCCTTCTGGCTTGGGAGAGGCCTCTGTATAACTCGGATAAAGTTATTGCTTACTCTGTACACTACATGAAGGCTGAAGGTAAGCAGAATCCACACACATGTTTTGTTGTTGGTTTTTTTGGTAACAGGAACAGTACATTAAGACAGGATTTTCGTGGCAGTTTCAGAAATCCTACTTTCTGTCAGACACTGTGACGTTAGTGTTGTGTTGTTGTACTCCGGAGTTAATTGGAACAGCTGCGTTTTCTGAACCAACAAGACATGTTAAGCTTAAAGATGCAGGGTTCCTTCCTTTGCTGGATAAAACACAGGATGCACTATTCACAAAAAGCACAACGGTTGTAGTGTGGCAGCAGAAAAGCCTTAAAGCCTTTCGGTTTTCCTGGGAACTTTCTTTCTGTTGACAACAAGAGTCACATTTAAACAATGTAGCATTTCAGGAAAATGTGCAGGCTGTGCATTCAAGGACTGCACTTCATTATAATGCCACTGACTTCCATTGAGGAGGAGAGACCTACAGAATTCAACTATTGAAAAAAGAACACCTGCTGGATTTTTGGTGGGAATAAGGATGTCTGAGAAAAAAAACAGGATGTTGCTGAACAAATAACTGACATCTGTCAGGAATTTGTTGCACTTTTCACAGATTTTTTTTGTCCTCTTGGTGCCACTTAAAGAAGCTGGTTATCAGGCAGTGTGCTCTTTACCTGAGGTTGTTGATAGAGGCTTGGGACTTAACTGAAGATCTACTGAAAAAGGGAACTTTTTAGCCAGTGTGATGGAGTGGCCAAAAGTGTGTATTCTATGAGGGGAAGATAGTTTAAATTGGACAGGAAGTCAAGCTTTGTTAAGACTTCCAGGGAGCCGTACTGAGGCATTCAGACTACACAGAATACATTTTTGTTTGCCTGAAGTACCTTAAGTGAGAAATTAGACCAGGTACCAATCCGTCTTTGTTTCTGACTTGGCTGGTTGTTCCAAGGGGCAGGAAATGAAAACTGCAGCTGCATAATGTTCTTATTACAATGAAAAAAACATGGGAATGCACAAAGCAAGCTGAGCAGTGGTAAAATAAGACAAAGTGACTGGACATACATAAAATGTTGAATAAATTATGAAAACCTACAGTAACAAAACCGTATCATATTGTTGCTGATTTTTGGGGGCTGGGGGCTAAAGTTTGAATGTTCTGCTTTTTATTGTTATCTCAACATTTTTTTTTAATCCTGTCATTTGTCCAGGGTTAAACAATGAGGAATATCAAATTGTCATTGGAAATGATACAACTCGCTATATTATTGATGATCTGGAGCCAGCGCACAACTACACCTTCTATGTAGTCGCCTACATGCCAATGGGAGCCAGTCGCATGTCGGACAACGTGTTTCAGCACACACTTGAGGACGGTGAGGTCTACAATAACAAACAAAAAAATCATTAATGCAGTCAATACAAAACAAGAAATAAGCCCATTGAATTTTCTGCAGATGGGTTAGCCATGGTCTTTCCTGTGTGATATAATTAAAAACAGGATATGAGGCTGTTTCATATGTTTTTTAGTTGCATAGGTGGTTTTACTAGAGATTGCTGATAGCATTTTTTGGCACATATGACGGGGTGCAGTGGGAGGTTTGAATGTCCAGTGTTAGCTACAAGGTGGTGCAAAACAAGCAACTTCCTCCCTGTTTGGGCATTTCTTTAGGCTTTCAGATTGGCTAGCACTGGGAAACAGAAGGTTTGAGTAGATGGATGAGTGGTGCTGGGTGTTCAGAGTCTCTCTTTGACGTAATACACAAGAAAGAGTTAAAAGACAAAAAACAAAGACATTCTGAAACTGAGTGCGTAGAGCACCGTGAAGCTTTTGGCTTACAGGTTTACTTGTACATGCTCTGAGCTCATCATTTAAACTTTGGTCCACAGTACCCCTCCGCGCCCCTGAGCTCAGCCTCACCAGTCGCAGCCCCACAGACATCCAGGTGTCTTGGCAGCCTCTTCCAGACAAGCTGAGTCGTGGCCGAGTCTGCAGCTACCGCTTATCCTATCGTACCAGTTCTGACAGCGCGGTCTCACAGATAGAACTACCTGGAGAAAAGACCCAGCATCTCCTGGAAAACCTGCAACCCGACACCATCTACCTTCTTCGAATTGTTGCCGCCACCAGCGTAGGGTGGGGTGAGCAGTCCGCCTGGACATCGCACCGTACCCCGAAGGCATCCGGTGCTCAAGGTACTTGAAGAATTGTCCTCATAACCTCTAAAATAGAAGCATTTAATCAAAAATATGAAGTCAGAATTGTACTTTAAATAGATTCTCATCCAAGCAGAGGAAGTTGAGTCAAAAATGTGAATTGGGCAAGAGATTGAGAAGAGCACGCTTTAATAATCTTGTTAAGACATTGCATTTGTTTCTCTCTGACCTTTACCCTGTGCTGTCAGTAACATTGGAAGGGCTTTGGTCATGGGTCATAAAGGGAGACCTCGGGCTTCAGAGCTGGACAGAATATATGGCTGTTTAGAGCTAGATCTGAAGCTTTGGGAAGGGGGAGGGGAGGATTTGTTTTTTTTTTTCTGTCCATCTCTTTTACCCTTAGTGTCCAGTGTAAACTCTGAAAGGCAACTTCTATTGGCAAACTTCATTCCCGTCATTCCTAAACGTGTGAAACAAGCTTCCTTATCTCTACGTGTGGTTTCTATTGAGTATTTAAAAGTGTGGGGGGATGGGGGCATTATTTAACTTTTCAAAAACATTTACCTGGTCAGGACAGAAGCTTCCTCTGTCACTCAAAAACAGCTCAAATAATGGATTGTAGTTGTTTTAGGATCAAGTTCCTCTTTTGTACGACTTTATAAGAAGACTGTGACGTACTTATAATAAATAAATAAATGTGGTTCGTATGGTCTTATTCTTCTGCAGTTCCCCTGGCTCCTGAGCTGCATCTGGAGTCTTTAAACTGCACCACTATTTTGGTACATTGGCAGCTGGCACCCAGAAACTCAGCGAACGTGCGGGGCTACAAGCTATTCTACCATGAGGAGAGCCAGCCTGAGAGCACCCCAGTTCAGTTTCACGCCTCTGATAATAAACACACCATCGGAGGGCTCGGTGAGTTTTCACCTTAGGTTACCTTTTGCCACCAATTTGGCTGTTTGGGTCATTTTACAGTATTTTCACATGAACACCAACACATGATGGAAGTTTCGTGTTTACTTTGCAAGTTTTAAGATCCGTTAAGATTTTCAGGCAATCTTTGAAAATGTTGATTTTTAACGTGTTATTGATTTAACAGTACTTGTTTTGTTTTTTTATTAATATTGCCTACGTCATAATTAAAGGTGTCGTAGTTTAATGATTTAATATGGCTGGAAATAGATATTTGCTATGAAAAGATGTGTTGAACTGATGGGGTTCTTTGCAGGGAAAGTTTGTGTGTGTAATCAGAGACCGTCTGTGTTTTGGTAGCTGCTGCATGTGAGTTCCCAGCTAAGACATTTGTTTGATTTCAGTGTCCCAGATATTCAGATGAAATGATCAAACTTAGCATAATTTGAATGCCAGTATTCTAACAACTAGAGTAATGGACAAGGTGTACATCCTGTTGCTTACCTGCCTTGTTGCTTGTTTATCATGTGTGTATCTCTGTCATTTATGGAAATACATACAGTAGAGAAAGCAGTCTTTAAGATTTTTTATTAAAATCTGGATGCATCTTTTTAGGGAACGTGAGTGATTAATTAGCTTAAGTCATGTCACATTTGGAGCAGAGGTTCTTTAAGTGGGAAATATATCAGCATCACATCCAGTTTCCACGACCTCTTGACTTCTGCGGGACATCAGTGTGCGGCTTTTCTGCTGCTGCTGAATAGTGTTCGGGACACATCACAGCCTCTCTGCCCTTTAGGTCAGATTCATTTTATCTTTTTTTGTTTGAGAGCGGAAAGGGAGCTCAGGCTAGCTCCAAGGACAACTGACCATATGTGGCCAGAGGAGGTCAGCCAGGTGGTCAGCAGCTGAGTTGTAAATCAGAAGCCTCTGTGCTCAAGTGAGATCAGAAAGGGAGAAAGACAAGGAGTCATTCTATATTACTGTAGGTGTGAAGTCTAAATGATACAGGTGTTCAGTAAGTTAGAATTTACTTCAGTAAACACTACAACTGTTTAGGCTCATTCTGCCACATCCTATGAAAAATATGACAACTAAACCCATTTCTCCTGCTAGGATTAACTCATAGTTGAATCTAGTGCAGATAAAGTCACAGACACTAAAATTACTTGCCTAGATATGAAGTTATAACTGGAATATTATTTTAATGATAGCTATAGCTTGAGGTGCTGGAAAAAGTAAAAAGATTCCTCTATATTCAGCTAAAGTTTGTGTGTGTGTGTGGGGGGGGGGGGGGGGGGGGTTCAGTATTTATTAAACGTTTCAGCAAGAATGGTTGTATGAAATATTTCTAAGCTGTTTTGGTTTTTGTTTTCTTGTTTTTTGCCCTGAATATTGGATGTTCTGGGAGGACGAGCGAGCTGTGGTCACTCTGTAAAATACAGCTTCTGCTGAATTAAAAGAATCATCTTTTTGTTCCTCGTTGTTAAAACAGCTTTCCATGGCCGTGTTTTAAAGAGGGTAAGACTGTTTTGTGGAGGCTGATTTATCATGCCTTTTATGACTCCTTTGAGCAGTGTTGCTGGAGGAGAATTAGGATCAAAGACTCCTATTCTGTTTGGCTTTGAGGGCCACAAAGATGGTGTATTAGCCAGAATTTCAAGGAAAACCATCCTCTGACCAACTGAGAGCTGTTGGCTAAACAATGAGCATGTCTTGTGAGCTCACTATGTCACAGGTTTGAGATTTCTTCCTCATAAATTAGCTGCAGCGCTGTGCATGGGGAGAAAGGTGTGAACTGAAGTGTCTGACGTCCTGTGTGGCAACGCATCCTGCAGCACAGAAGGCATTTCTCTGCTGTGAGCAGTCTGACATTTCCTCTAATTATACCTGCTTTCTTTTCTTTTGAAATTATTTTGATAATTATATTTTACACAATCTTGTTACAACATTTGAGTTCTTGTTAAAATGAAGTTTGCATTGGAAAAAGGTTGAAAGGAAATTTGGATGTTAAAATGAGTCAAAAAGTAGCATTAGCATGAGTTATAAATATTTTTGACTGCATTGGCATTTGTCACAGTAAGCTTCTGGCCACTCCAGACCAACTAAAGCTGTGGAAGAGTCCAGTGAATTCAACAACTCTTTCTTTCTGTCTTATTTATTTGTTATTTTTATTTCTATAAGGGGAGAATGTGTGTTTCCTTCTTTTAGAAGCAACATTGCCTCACTTTTAAGGTGATCTTTAAAGATGATCAGGCAATGAGCAATGCTCTCAGCGCGATATGGCAGCCTTGCTTCTGTCAGTCTGCCCCAGGGCAGCTGTGGCTACAGCTGCTGTATAAACATTTTTTTATTCAAAAACTAGAAAAACACTTTCTAGTTCCCTGATAAACAGAAATACTAAACACTCTGGGGTACAGCTGCTGTAGCTTGCCCCCACCAGTGTGTGAATGTGAGAGTGAACGAATAGTGGAATTGTACAGTGCTTTGAGGGTCTCGAAAAGTGCTATATAAATGCAATCCATTATTATTATTATTATTATTATTATTATTATTATTATTATTATTATTATTATTATTATCCAGCTTAGATGATAGGCAGTAATCGGTTACATCAGTCTAGTTGTAGTGAATTTTCAGTGCCTGTGTTCTGGCAGTTTTACATTTCAAATTACATTTTATAGCTTAAGTTGCCTGGCCCCATGTGGTTACTTAATAAGAAAGCTGCCCTAAAACTATATATAGGTTTGTGTTTGCTTTTCTTTTAAACTCTGCTTTAAAGATGTGCTAGAAGCAGCTTTGAAGCTGTTTATCATTGCAAATCAAATCAGCTTGTGCTGTGAATTAATTTTTTCATAATCTACTTGATTTTGTATAGAGCAGTCAATAGTATTGATTTCTGAACTGTCATCTGTAGGAAAAACCACAAACTGCTGATTCAGCTGCAGAGAACATGCTCTGAACTCACTCATGACAAGCCAGATGATTGAAAGCACACCATAAAAAGCAGGAATGTGGTTTTAGAGGCTCCAGTTTGGTATAAATGGCACGGTGATGTGACCTTTCCTCGCATGTGTATTCTTTGCTTGGCCCATGAACAGCACAAGTTGTCATAGCTGCAGCTTAAAGACCTCTCATACCTGTTGGCACCAGGCAGGACTGCAGATTTATCTCACAGCTGCAGGCCATGTTGCATCTTGTCCACTCCTTTTATTAAACATGAGGCAAAGCATGTTCTGTGTGAAATACAGTCTTCATTTTAAAAAGGCTATGTCATGTTTAACCTGCATGTGTGTCTGCTGATTTGTGTTGGAGGCTAAAGACAGGAATAGTAGGGGTGGTGGTGGTTAATAGATGCCGGTGTGAGGGCTCTTGCAGGAATTGACATTTATTGCCTCTCTTCGGGCCTGGGGGCCTTTCGCAACAGAACAACACTGCAAGGGCCAACAGGAACTGCATTTTAGCTGTTTTTAAAAAAAAAGGGGGGGGATCACAAATGGCTTGAATATCCCCAAACAGAATAATTTATGGGAGTATCCCAGTGGAAAGGACAGGAAAGCATCTTCTCCTGAGGAATGGCTTTGAAAGCGGAATACAATGTGTAGTATTGTAACCACATTTAAAATTTGTAAATCTAGTTCTGCATATGAAAAATACCTTCCAGCAGTAATATTTACACTCAGTCTTTTAATTAAGCAAAGAAACCCCAGTTATACAGTTGTGAGTGAATTGTTTCATGTAAGAAGATGGAGAAACTTCTTAAACATTTTCAGTTTAACTGTGATGCACTCGCAGCTCGAGGAAAGTGAGTGAGTCACTTCCTCTGAGTTGCATCTTCCCCTACAACATTTGTAATGATTGTGCTTGTTTGATTAAAAGTGACTTTTATTTATTAAGTCTCCTCATTTCTCTGTTTTTTTTTTTTTACTACAGTTTATTTTTTGCTTTTTTTGAGTAGCTTGTTTGATGGATTTTGAAACATGCCATATAAGTTTTTTTATTACATGTGCTGTAAATTAAACAGAATAATCATCAGGAACACTTAGTTCAGACTATTTTCTTATGTCTGTGAAGGTTCTCAGTTCTCAGTCACGCTTTTCTTTGCAAGCTCCTTTGACTATTTTCTTATCTTTTGCTGAGGCAAAATCCTCGTTGTTGTCATTTGTTGCTTTGATTTTGTTCACCTGACTGTGTTGTTGAGAGCTTCAAGAGTCATCTTCATGGTTTTATCAGGACACTTTGATATGATGCTACTTTAAGCCAGTTTGACTCTTGGTGGTTCCCTGCTTTTTCACTCACTTCCTCCGCTTGACCCTCCCCCTTCAAGGGGAGAGAGGTAACCCTCCCCCCTTTTTTTGCAGGATTTAGCTTGCCCAGATTCCATGTCAAAGGTCGTGGCCCAGATGTCACAGCTTCCCCCCCACTCATAGCTCCTCTCTCACATAATTACGGCAGGCCCATTGTATTGTGGGTTTGGGTAGAGGTGCATGCTACATGCCTACTCCTCTTTAGAGGTAAGGCTTAACAAGCGGCTCAGAAACTCCAGATAACAAGGAGGACATTGTAGAGCTGTAGAAGTCGAGGAATTCTGCTTTCACTTAGTTCTGGAAGTAACAAAGAGAGGGACAGTCCTTGTTCTCTGTAAACATTTGTCTACTCTGCAGCAACTCATGAGATAGTTTACATTGCTGAATATTGTGTTCTTTTATTTTTCCTCATTGCTTTTAATTGTCTTTAGGAATAACTAAGGTTTTAGGCTTCCTGGGCAAAAAAAGAGGTTCAGCTCATATTCCACACCCATGACCCCAGATTCTTTCAGTTTTATCTTGGCCTGACCTGTTGGCCCTGGTGTGGCTCCAGTGAAACTCCTCAGGGCTCTGTGGGGGTGCAATGTGTGTAGCTCCACCCACGCTAAACTTTGCAAACTTCCATGGAGATAAATTCATCTCCTGTGGTCTCCCTATTCTCTCGAGCTTCTAAATGTCTGAACATCAAAAACATCTGTTTGTGTTGTCTGCGGGACACACAGGACTCTGATAGTAGTAGTTGTAGTAGTAAAGATTGATTGGTTTGGATTTTGTTATTTTGCACATCCACCTGGTGTTTCTCACCAAACTGTGATCCTGCATCTTTGAAACATTATTTAGAGACTCTGGGTCACATTTTGTTTACTGTTTGTAAGCACTGGAAATTATGACCATTTAGGGGTAAAAGGGACATGTGGTCAGTTGGCTATTGTTCAGCAGACGGTCTCCAGGGTCACTAAGGTCTGCTACTGCTGCTGACCATCAGCAGTGTCCTCCCCAAGGGGTTTTCACTCCAGATTTAACCCCTAGATTCAGGACCCGAGTAGGTGTGGCCACTGACCAATGACCAGCAGGCCTAACGGGGCCAGAGAAAGAGCTTTCAATATATGTGGTCAAAAGGCTGGGGGTGACAGGGTGATGGATGGGGGGGGCTTATCTGTTCTGCTGCCTTGGGTGGTGTCGAAACTGACCAAAGGACTCGCAGCACAGAGCATCTGTCGCCCTGCCCTACCCCTCGTTCTCACCACGCCATCAAACCAGAGCACATCACTGACCTCACACCCACACCGGCCAGCTCTCTTTCACACAACACCCCCACTTCCCATTAGCTTTAGGAAACACATCTGGCACTGTTGTGGCCTATACTGACTTGTGTAAGGAACTGTCAATCTAAATCTTTAGTGCTCTTTTTTTTTTTTCATCTCTTAATGTAGATCCAAGGAAGAAGTACCACGTTAAGATCCTGGCTTATAATGTTGTGGGAGATGGGTACCAAGCAGACCAGACTATCAGCACCCCTGGATGTGTCTGTAAGTCCCACATTATAATAGAAAAGTCAGACCACATGGTGCAGAAAAAGTGGGGAAAAATAACAGTACTAATCTAGATGTACCTCTCAGCTGTTCGAGATCGCCTGGTACCCCCTCCACCTCCTCCACACAACGTGTATGCTAAAACCAACAGTTCGACCACTGTCTTTCTGCACTGGAGCCGACCAGCATTCACCTCCAGCCACGCAGTCAACTATACCGTCCGCTGCAATCCAGTTGGTCTGCAGAATGCCTCCCTGGTGCTCTACCTGCAGACGTAAGAAATTACCCTTCAGACCAAAGTGAACATGACTACATGTAGATTGATTTTCATATTTGTTAGCATGTAATTTCAACTGCATTTGCTGCATTTACTGTACGACTGCCTGGTTTCCTTTCATAGTATAGTTTTTATTTTAACAGTATTTTTTTAAACAGTAATTTTGATTTTTTTTAGCAGCAGCTGATTATCACAACCTAAAATCAGCTGAATGCATTTCTTATACTGTGTGTTTACAACACTTTAACAACATAAATGCTGTCTTCACACTTGTTTGGGAAAGTTTACAAGTACTTCTTTCTTTACACTGCCATCACAGCTCCATATCGCCCTCTTCTGGCCATTTTTTGACCCTCTTTAAACATAGCTGTCTGAAGTTGGCTGGAATGTCTTGCCAGTAAGTATTGAATCTGTAAAGGAGATCACAATTCTTAAAGTGTGCATGTATTCTGCAGGAGTGAACAGAGACTCCTCGTGCGAGATCTGGAGCCCAATACAAAGTACGAATTTGCTGTTCGCCTCCATCTTGACCAGCTGTCCAGCCCCTGGAGCCCTGTGGTCTATCAGAGCACCTTCCCTAAAGGTGAAAATGCAGAAACATCTTATTCACCGATTAATTTCTTCATGCACAAAGACTAACATCCCCATGTTAAAGTTGTTCTGAGTTCACTTTGTCTTTTCATTCTCACCTGCCAGCTCCCACACGACCTCCTTCCAACATCAAAGTGACTCTAATTGAAGAAGACACCGCACTTGTTTCATGGAAGCTTCCAGATGAACTCAACATACCTGTGACACGCTACACAATCCTGTATGCCTCCAGAAATGACTGGATAGCTGGGGAGTGGCAGGTGATGGAAAGGGAAGGTAAGGAGAGACTCAGAACAAGAGCATTTATGTACAGGTGTGTGTATATATGCATGACTGTCAAGGACACGGTCATCTGGGAATCAGTGACTCTGCCTCTGTCTTCATTGTAGTCCCAGAATTCTCTAGAGTTCACTGCTTTGTCTTACTGCCAAGTGGTTTAATGAGACTACAACAAAGACTTTGATTTACAGTCTTGTTGACCATTTGCACATAAAGATGCTTTTAAATCTCTTCTGTAAATGAACAGCCTATATCTTTTTACTGCAATAATGGATGGTAAATAATTGTTATACATCTTATACTATGATAGATTATTGCTCACAATTTGACTCTTAGTAAGTACACACAATAAACCGATTTCACAGGCATTGTCAGAATTGATTTCAGTTATGTGTGTTTATTTTTTTTAATCTTGGATACCCTTCATCATGATTCCGTCTTAGTCTGTTTTTTTTACCTTGTTTAGCTTTTATACCTGATTTTACACTTTCATGCTTGTTTTTTGTTTTGTTTTGTTCCTTGCCTTATGTTTTTATTTATTTTATTTTATTTTTTGTCCTATTGTAAGCTGACCTTGAGGGTCTTTAAAGGTGCCTATAATAAGATGAATTATTATTATTATTATTATTATTATTATTATTATTATTATTATTATTATTATTATAATAAGGGTTACTGTGAAAACATAGTTAAATAAAAAATCCATGATTGTAAATGTCACAGGATAGTTCTCAGCTTGACCAGTATATTGGTTACCAGCTATTTGTCGTTATACCAATATCCATATTTATAATATATATTAAGCAAAAAATTAAAAAATTAAAGAAGAGGTGGGAGAAACACCCTTTAACCTTTTTATGGGTGTTGGCATTGCATAGTGTGTCCACCAGAGGGTGCTCTGCAACTTCCCTGTTGGAACATGTTTTGTTTGGAACGCTCTTCCCAAGCTGAGTTGGGACAATTAACAATAAAACAGGATTTTTAAACAGAATTGCTATATTATCTTAGTAAGGACTTGTGAGTAACCGCAGATGACAGAGATTTAGTATGTCTGAAAGAAAATAATAGATCAGCTGGTATATTAGATTTTTAAATTGTTACATATCGGTCTAGTGTCTGATAATATTGGTATTGGTATTAAGCACCCTGTATCAATCTGGCTCTAGTAAACATTTTTTTTTTAATTAATTGTTCTACTTCATGAACTTATTTTTATTCATCATGGATTACAGTGCCACAGAAGAGCCATAAACTACCTGAACATGGACAAACAGTGTGCTATTAAACGGAGAACCTTGTGGTCTTTGCTTCTTTTATGCTTTATACACACCGGTGTATTCAGACAGAATTTCATCTCACAACAGGGACCATCACCATGGCGCTGCTGGAGAACCTGAAGCCTGGCCAGATTTACTTCGTGAAGGTTTCAGCATCCAACGACATGGGCGACGGTCCGTTTTCTCACGCGGTGGAGCTGACAGTACGAGAAGGTCTCCCCCTTGGTCATGATATCCGGGTTTCTCGTGGCTCCACAAGTCAGTGAAACCAACATGATGTCTTACAGTGTAAAGAGTTTCTTTTTTTAAGATGTTACATGATAACCTGACAATGTTTCCTCGGCACATAGCGTTTTCTGATAACTTCTACCACCTGGATCAGAAGTCGATGACCGGTATCAGCGTTGGAGTCTGCATCGCTCTCATCTGCATCATCATCTGTGCCTTCATCATCATCTGCAGAGGCAAAAACAGGTACCTGGTGTCTCTGAGTGTAGTGACCATGTCCCACATCAATTCAATTCACTTTTATCTATATAGAGCCAAATCACAACAACAGTTGTCTCAAGACATCGAGGTTTCCTCTATGAACACGTCACTTTGTGTCCTTTCAGGAAACTTTCTGCTGTGAAAACATGCAGAGAGGGAATGAGCACATCTGCTGCAGCTGCAAGACCTCCATCCTCTCAAGGAGAAGCTGAGCATGCTGATGTGAGCATGCCAATGATGAATCTAAACCATTTTCTTGATGCAAAGGTACAGCATGTCATACTCGTGACACTAAAATCCAGAAAAAAATATACTTTAAATATTTTAATTAAATGTGTTAAGTTATATTTACATTTTGAGAAATGTGACATTGTAAAAAAACAAAACAAATTCAAATAATCAGTGCCACAATGACAGTGCAGGTTTATAATTAAGTGCCAATGTGAGCTGCTTAAACTACAGTTGAACTGTAATAAAGCCTCTTTTCTTTTATTGCTGCTTTTCTTGCAGGGTGGAACAGATCTCATCATCAATTCTCTCGGCCCCATTCAGCACACCGCTGAGAGGAAAAGGAAATGGTTCTCCTTCAGCAGTGATGTGAAAAGTGAGAGTAAACCCACACAGGTGAGATTAAGAATAATGAGTCCTTCTCAATAAGTGATTACCAAATAATCAAACCTGAAGACGACAGCATGGTATGTTGTGTCTGTTGGGTTTAAATCTAGTTTGAATCACTTCTCATGAGGGCTGAATATTTTTTTCTGTTGATTTGCTCGAGATGTTAAGATCTCTGCAGATCTGAAACTGAGCCGTGAACAGTCAGACTAATAGGAGAAACTTTCTCTCTGCGCTGCAGAACACAAGACTTGACGCGGCCTCATACCAGCACGGCACCACAGTGCTGACCTACGAAGAGGAGCTTTCTTCAAACCAGCCCACCAACCTGCAGACCCTGCTCGGACATCCCGGCGACACAGAGGGATCTTCAAACAGCGAGGGCAGCCACGCCACCGGTGACTCAGGCCGCTACTCTCACGACGAGACGGAGCTGACCAACCTGTCCTCAGGGCCCAGCAGCCACCTTGCGTCTCCCACGGCAGAGGACGGGACCGAGTTTGACTGTAGCAGCTGCGCTGAAGAGTTGAACGAACTCTCAGAGGAAAATCAGAGCAAACAGAAGGCGAAGGAGTCAATGAATGCTGGCAGTTGTCAACACGAAGCCCAAAGCAGAGTGTGAAGGCGTGCCTCTGTATGTGTGCGTGTGTGTGTGAGTGTGAAGGCGGTGGTTTACTTGCACAAACATTCACATAATATAAAAGTTTACTTTATTGTTTATTTACACTGCACGTCAGTGAGTGCAGCGAAGAATGTCTGGAACCACGCTGCCTCTTATTTGGGCTGTTATGAGTTTGCCTTTTTGCTTTAATTGCATCACAGAGCTAAGAAATAGGCACACACATACCCCGTAAAACAAAAGTGATATAAGCATGTTAAACAGGAAAAGAAACAAAACAGACTAGTCGCCTAGACTAAAAGTTTAAAAAAAAAACGGTCAGAAAACAGAAGCGGTCAAAAGTGATCACAATCGAGTGATCATGGACGAGGTTAAGCACTGCCTTAAGAATAATTTGAAATACTTAATCACATTCTTCAGTAACCAAAGTGTGTTTAAATGTCACTGAAATATGTGGCTTTTAGCACAGTGCTTTACGTTACACACATGCGCCTTAAAGAACTAATGTGGAGTGGTTATGTCAGTTTACTCTGACATAGCCAACCTAAAAATCCTTTTAATGATGAAAGTACTGAAAAGACCATAATATTGAATTAATCACAAACAACAAACCTGATAATGTTATTTGAATGTGCAGGTAAACTGCTGGCCTATATGACTGTGTTGATTTTTTTATTTTTTCTTCTTCTTTGTTTCTACACACTGTGAACGCTAAGCTAACAAAGTCCTTCTACAGTATAAAGTGTTGACAGGAAAGCTCGTTTTATCTTTTTAACTTCCTTCTCTTTCTCTCTCACTCTCTCTTTTCATTTCCTGTGTGTGTGCGTGTGTGTGCATCTGTGTGCATCTGTGTGCGTGTGTGTACGTGTTTTTCTCACCCACCATGAATGTTTAAAAAGGAGTGTCAAAGTGACATTTCTGATGCTATTTAAGAGTTTATCACTGGAGCGAAAGGGAGGTCCTTTTTGCGGATTATCTACCTCGGTTTGCCTCATGGGTAAACCTCCCACTGTATATTTAATAACTACTTAAACCTTGCGTTGTGTGATGGGCTGCTTCCGTCACATTACACTTTATACTTCCTCGTCTTCTCTCCTTGCTTTGTTCTGATGTACGGGATGGTAAGGGCGCTGCAGCTCACTCCTCTCGCTCCACCTGTGGTGTGGACTGAAGGATGTAACACACACTCACAGTTTATTATTTATCACCTCAGATGTTGCTGAGGCACTGAGCCAGTATTAATAGGTCTTTGTTCAGTTTTTTTTTATCAGTTACTGATGTAATGAATGTCTGTTTTATCTTTCTTTTTTCATCTTTATGTCGGTGTGCAGTCGCCCTTGCTACTCCTGTTTTTATACTACCTCGTTTAAGATTTAATTTTATTGTCTTATTGTTTTCCTAAACTCAGGGAACAAAGTTTAGTACGTGCGAAAAGTCGTGTAGTGTTATATGATGGACTGACAGGGTAACTTCTCAGTACTAAGCTGTTTTCGCGTGTAATTGCCTCAAAGAAAACGCTATGAATGTATCTCTGACATTATGTGCCAGCAGCTCAGATGTTTGTGCTGCCCTTACCACAGACGGACACATCTGCGGGTTCTTTAATGTCTGTATGTTGACTTCTTCTTCATTGTATCTGTGTAAGAATTCACACCAGAAGTGCTTGCAGCGGCATGTCCGTATGGAAAAGCTTTATGATCAGCCTTAATGTGGACAGCGTTTCCTCAGACTCCAAAACCAAAGCCTAATCTCTCTGAGGGAGACACCCCACATGAGGATGCAACACATGAAGAGTGGTTGTAATGGAAGTGTTCAATCAGAGACTGAAGTGAAGAATCGAATGGACAACATTTACTTATAAAAAGTCTATTTTTGTTAGAGGATGATGTACTTGTAGTTACTTTTGTTCCAAGTATTTTTGCTTTGCTTTAGAGTAGATAAAGGTTAGCACTTGTCTGGAAAGTAGTTTGTATTAGAGGCCAATGTGCAGCGGTGACTGTGACGCTATCACGTTTATTTTAGTTTCTCAACTGATCTCTGGCTGGAACAACTGAAACCAAAGACCAAAGATGAAACCGGAGATCAGTTGATCATCAAACAAAGCCTTGCACATTAGTGGCCTTGACCCACGATGAAGATTTTAAAGGAAAATAAATGGTGAAAGTTGTGCCTGCAGGATTCACAGGCACTAAATGGAGTGACAATGACTAATAAGCTTTATGCACACGAGCCAGGTTATCCTGCAGCAGAGTTCCTCAAAGTCTGAAGCAAACATACGTCTGCATGGTTATAATGTTATAAGAGTTAAATACAGTATTTTATATGGATTAGCAGTCTGTGTTGCGGCAGTGCAGCTGTGTGTCAACGTGCATCCACTGGTTTGTCTCCTGTAAATTAGTGTAAAAAAATAATTAGAAGGAATAATATGTTTAAAGTGTATTATTATTATTATATTTCTATAGTTTAATTTCATTCTAAGTGCTCACAAGAAAAAATTATTGTATTTTTAAGTAATTTTATGGCATAAATGAGCTAAAATGCCAGTGGGTGCACAAGTCGTCACATTTCTGTATTTTTAATCAGAGGACTTTGCAGAGGATTCAATCATTTGATATATTTAGGTGACACAATCAGTTTAACTTTCTTTCTTAAGAAAAAGCAAACCAAAGATTTTTTTATTAAAAGGTCACCGTTGCATGTTGGCGAGAGATCAGTTTAAAATCATCCTGTCTTTGTGTGAAATGTTATTTCCACTGCTGTTGTACTCATTTTATTACTGTATGATGTCAGGAGGATGGAAACGTTACAGCGTGTTTTTTAATCATTTCATTTCCCACAAAAACAACTGCTGTTGTGGTTTTTTTAAATACTAAATACTGTTTTCCTGCTTTTGCAAAGAACAGTTTGAGTCTTTGTTTTCAGACGTACTGCCTGAGCAGAGCTTTAAGGGCCCGATCCAGAATCCAAAAACATCTGAACTTTGTGCGTTTACACACACATCACCGCTCTGGTCGAGCAGGTTCTGGATTAGACCCTTGAGTAGTTCATGCAGGTACATGAGTCCTACCTCTGGTGTTTGTTTCCATATTGTTTTTATGGGTACAGATTAAACGTGATTGGGGTCCTTAATGCCTGTAAGGGCCAAGATGTACGGCCATCAAACGTGGGACTGGGGAAGTTGATGTGCTGCTTTTCATCTTATAAATGTTAAAAACATGTGAATTTAAAGGGTTAAACACACACAGTCTTCTGCAGTAATGTTTTAATCCTGTGTGGAGGAGCACTGAGGGTCATTTACAGTCAGACTCAGGGGGACCCACAGCTGCTCATCCATCAGGACAAAGCAGGTTTCAAGTGTTTGAAATTGAATGTATCTTTATGTAATTATTATGTTACCTGATATTTTCTCTTAATGTTTTGTTATATTTGGTCTGTGCCACCTGAATAACTTGCAAGTTTCCAAAATGTTTAGATAGAAGTTTCTATACAAACAGCTAATGATAAAAAGTCTGATTCTCACTTTAAATAAAAATACAGAAATGCTATAATATCTGCTGTTGTAGTCGGTCTTTGTTGATTCTATCTGAAACTCTGAGCATTCTTTTTACTTTTCTATACAGTGTGCAGTTGCCATAGGTATTAAAGGTACTGCGCTGCAGTTGTTTTAATCATAGATATCTAATACACTCCAATTTGTCATGTGAATGGAGAGTACTCTTTACACATTAAGGTTAATTATGGAGTACCACAGGGATCTGTGCTAGGACCAATTCTGTTTACATTATACATGTTTCCCTTAGACCAGCGGTCCTCGGCCTTTTTTGTTCCATGGACCGGTTTAATGGCAGACAATATTTTCACAGACCGGCCTTTAAAGTAAATTTGGCTCTATATAGATAAAATACAACAAAATAAAATGATATGACCAAGAGAACAACGGTGGTATTTTGTAAATATAATAATAAATGTGAATTCACTGTGTAACTTTATTAGCAGCGTCCTCCTGAAATGTGCCAACAACATTGAGAGTACCATCCTCCTCTCTGCCCCTTAATGCTCTCTGGTTGCTATGATAACGCGTAAAATATTTCCTTCAAAATAAGACCCACAACTACAACACGAGAAAGACCCAGGGAAACAGAGTTAACGATAAAACCCCTGAAAACCATAAATTTCACACCCGAGCTTCAACTCTCGCGGCCCGGTACCAGTCCGCGGCCCGGGGATTGGGGAAGGCTGCCTTAGACAGTATCATTAGAAGGTATGGCATAAATTTTCCCTGCTATGCAGATGATACCCAACTTTATCTGTCCGTGAAGCTAGATAACACACACCAATTAGTTAAACTGCAGCAATGTCTTAAAGATACAAAGACCTGAATGACTGCCAATTTTCTGCTTGTAAATTCTGATAAAACTTTACGTTACACTTGGCCCTAAACATCTTACAAACGTGGCGTTTAACCAGATGCTTCCCTTGGGCTCCAGGAACACTGTGGAGTCTTGGAGTTATTTTTAACCAGAATATGTCCTTCAATGTTGGACTTCTTTTTCTTGCATTTGCACAATATCACTAAAATCTCAAACATACAGTCTTACTTAAAACTACAACCCGGTAAATAGTCTGTAAATAACAAGTAAGTGTTGTGACTTTAACATGAAAGCAAGCAGTAAATAGTCTGTAAATAACAAGTAAGTGTTGTGACTTTAACATGAAAGCAAGCAGAAACGATTCTTCACAACTGATTCATTTTAATTTGTGTGGTTTGGGGCTCAGAGTACTACGGAAGCGTAGAGCTGCCACCCAGGCAAAAGAAAAAGTGTATCACGTTATAACGTGAAAGGTTTATTGTTCTAACAAGATACTTTTCCTGTTTGTACAATATACTTTTCACGTTTGAACAACATAATATCACGTTATTACAATATACATAATTATCACGTTCGTACAATATAATTATCACGTTCGTACAATATAAATATTATATTGTACGAACGTGATAATTATATTGTTTGAACAATATAATATTTATATTGTACGAACGTGATAATTATATTGTACGAACGTGATAATTATGTATATTGTAATAACGTGATATTATGTTGTTCAAACGTGAAAAGTATATTGTACAAACATAATAGTATATTGTACAAACAGGAAAAGTATCTTGTTAGAACAATAAACCTTTCAGTATATAATTATAAGTACTTCTTACTATCAGAGCCTCCTACATTAGCTTAGCCTGAAGCCTCTTATGAGAAGTGCACCTGGCGAGGGCTGGCTGTTTTAAAGCAACTATGCTCTTACGGTGATTTGCCGTCGAAACCAGGTACTGGGTGTATGGTAGGTTGTGGGTGAGTCAGGGGTCGCTTGCGTATTGTGGGTACAAGCCCACGGCGATTCCAATTATGTAGAAGCTTAATGAGTCACTGGACATTTACGATTTCTCCAGAAACGAAATTCTGTCTTGAGTTTCATTTATTGCTTGCTTCCGCTATACGGTGCAGCAACGGCCGCGCTCTGGGGTATAGTTGAGAAAATCCCAACGCAGCTGGGTGCGCCGGGCCCTCACCTTGGAAATAAGGCCGCTGGTTACGTGCTCTTAACGGAACAACATTTTGGCACGCTAGCCTCCGTGATTTTTTTTTTTAGGTTCAGTGTAATTTGTATTGGGGTCGGCACGTGTTGTTGTTGTTTGTTGTGTTGTTAATAGTGTGTTGTAAGCCTATTTGCCCTGCTCATAATATATATGTATAACACAATAACACACACACGTGTCGGTAGTTACTGACAGACCTGTTAAGCTTTACAGGAACATGAACAAATGTTCAAGCATTCTCTTTCTTTAACTTTTCTTCCCCTCTTACAAACTATTATCTTCTTCTTCTTCGAGTACAGTTGCAGCTGTTTAGTATTTGTTAGATTGCAACACCATGTTTTCCCAAACCAGTCGAGCAACATATTATGTATTCATTAAGTCTTTTGCAAGAGACAGGGAATTTGAGCTCACAACAACAACGACCACGTGTGTTCAGTTAAAGTTTTCAGGTATGGCGTTTTGCTTATTTAATGTTCTGCTTAGGCTGCACATCTAAACATATAAAACACTCATTTGAAAAGCTCTTCATCGACGTGTCTCCGCCCTCGTTGCTGTTACTGTGTCGGTGCTTCGTCACGCTTCCTTGTTTATGTTTTTTTCTTTTTCGCAGCCGCACGGGGATTTTCGCTCCACCCTCGCCGAGTTTGTTTGGCCGCCGAGCTGACCCATGGGATATGTAGTTTCGGGTGTCGCAGAAGACATTGCGCCGCGTGTCCAGCTAAACCCTTTAAAACTACACTTCCCTCCCACTGGTCGGTTACGCAGCGTTAACGGATAAACTGGCTCGGGCATATACTGCAATAACTGTGGAGCTTCTTGCAAACAGCTGTCTCGCCGCCAGGAACAAAACACTGGTGAGTTTAGGCACTTATCGTCATACTCTAGGTTGCAGTGATGTTAAACGACTGTTAAAAATAACGGATAGTCTCGAGACGGTTTCAATTATACGTTCCGACGACGTTTATAGAGATGACGGTAATAACAAGCCTCTGAAGTTAGTTCAGTAACAGCGAAACTGACGCCAAATGCGGTTATTTGATGTCAGCGGACGAAGCTGGTGTTCGCTGCCCGTAGCTGCTGCAGGTTTAACCGCAAATTTGTCCGTTAGAGACGTAAACAGCGGCTTTTTTTCAGCGTGAGGCCGCGCGCTGGTTGGCATCGTCTTCTAGCTTTCACCGCTAGAGGGCGCAGGTTCCTCTGTTTGTTTACACTGCCAGGTATCAGCTCGTGACCAGCTGTAAAAAAAGGCATTAGCTGCGGTTACAACACATCGACAGGGGGGGCATGTAACTGGATTCGGGGAGAGGAGTTTGAGACTGCCAGAGTTAGGGGTTATAACGGTATTATCACAGTACCGCGTAGATCTAGGGATGCCACAACAAGACTCCAATGAGGTTTCGTGCCAAAAAGTGATTACTCATGTTTCTGTCTGATTTTTTTTATGACTAATATCTGTGTTTATATACAGGCTGTAGTTTACAGGATTTATGTATATACAATAAAGAAATTAGCTGTTATTCAAGTATCTTTATGACTCTGTCTTATTGTATCAGGTCAGTGTTCTGCATTATAATCAACCCAGTCCTATTTGACCACTTTTAAAACTTTATAAAACTATTAACTAACTTTTGTTGTACTTTCTGCTGGCCTCTTTGCCATTATGCATATTTAGTTTTAGTTATTATAACCTTGCTCGCAACTATATTGTGGTGTTGATGTTTAATAGTGTGCCCATCAGAGGGCACGTTGCAGACCGGTAAATGGTCGGTAAATAACAAATGAGTTTTGTGACTTTAACATGAAAGCAAGCAGAAACGAGTCTTCACAACTGATTCATGTTAGTTTGTCTGGTTTTTCTAGATTTGACAAGTCAACCACTGCTTGCCTTCCGTGTCCTGACGAAAAACAGCTGATCTACGCAGAACAATGTTCAGTAATAATTAGGCTGATATGAGTAAATATTGGATTTTTAAATCACTGAGAACTGGTATCAGTCTTAAAAACCCTGTATCTAAAGCAGGGGTCACCAACTCCAGTCCTCGAGGGCTACCTTCATGCAGCTTTTAGTTGCATCCTTGTTTTGACACACCTGAACCAAATGAATGGCTTCATAACAGACCTTTGCCAAACGTCATGGCATGCTGAAGAGGTAATTCAGCTGTGTTGGGATGCATCTAAAAGCTGTAGGATGGTAGCCCTCGAGGACTGGAGTTGGTCACCCCAGATCTAAAGACTATAAACAGGCCACTTAACCCAATGCAGGGTGGTTGCCAGGCAACTTGAGGACAACATACTATATTGTGCATAATTCAACTTTTGTGGATATGAATAAGATATTTTTGTTGATAAATAAAAAGAATGTACAGTTCTTTTATAAGGTGTTGATAAGTGCTTAAATACTAAAAACAGATCATTTTAAGCTGTTGCTACATGGTTTCTAGGCAACATGTTAACATCTAGATAAGAACCTTCTGGAGCCTAAGATGTATCTGTGTGCAAAGCTCCTAATGGTGCAGGAGGAGACGAGCAGAAAGCTCTTTCGCGTGTTACAGTCAGATCTACAAACGAAAATGAGTTGGACAGGCCTGCTGTGAATTTTTTGTGGCATACAGGTCTTGCTCATCTTTTCACTACAACATATTGTCTCAGGTGTAGGTGGAGCTCAGCGGGAGCTCGACTGCTGCAGCAGCAGTCTGGCAGTCGAATGTAAAGTGACACCACTGGTCAGCCGAGTGCCGCGTGATGGGTGGATGAATTTATTTAACTGATGTGTGGGGGTTTGGTTTTTTTCTTTATATGTAGCTTGGTGATAAAATGGAGTGAAAGTAGTCCTTGCTGTATAAACAGGATGTGCAGTGATTGATAGAAGTTTAATTGCATGCTGTTCCACTCTCACCTGCACATCTCACTTTGCCTTTCACTACAAGAGGCTGAACAGCAGGCATAGTCTAAGTCAGATAGAAATAATAACTCAGTGATTTGTGCAGCTGTTGGTGTCACTGCCTGCACTGTTAGACTGTTATGTGTATTTATTTTGCTATCCCTGTGAAAACCCACACCCTGCTCATGCCTGTAGCTGGGTGTGGGTGGTGGTGCTGAAGCGTTTAATTGATCCCTGCGTGACTTCTGAACAAGCTTAAAGTGTTTTTCTCAGCAGCTTAGGTTTCTGTTTATGGGTGGGATGGGAAAGACGGTGCAACATAAAAAAAGAACTTGAGTGCTGCATCGAAGTGGAAAAACTGGAGGATTTATTTACTTTATTTCAGACCTACACGTTATTTCAGAGGACAGTATTGTGGTATTGGTTGTATAATTGTTTATTGGTTGCTTGGTTAATATTTGTACATTTCTTCCTTCCAGCTTTTAAAATTCGCTACTTTTGCTCATTTTAACCTTCAGTAATTTTGAAAATTAAGGGAGATTTAAGGTGTTATTTGGACAAGATATCAATGTGATGGTGTCACTTTAAGTGGAAATTCAGCCTACAACATAGCCCAGTCAAGAGGCTGATGCCGTTGGCAGCATTTGCACTTATCTGTCTGGTGTACCTGCGTCGCTCTGCAGCTGGCGGCAGTGTTTCTCTCTTCAAGTTGATATCAGAAATGGCAGCAGTCAGTCACAGTTGCTGTGATCACATTAACTTACAGTGTCGATTTAATACAGAAATATAAAGTATTTTCTGAAGTTTTAGGAACTAAGTAATTAATTTATTGGAAACATAATCAGCAGATCATTATAGTTAGTTGCAGGTTGATATATTAGAAAATGGACTCGACTTTCATCATCTACAAAAACCAAACTCTGCTTTTATATTTCTGTATGTCTGATAAAAGCATAACGATATAAGAAACTCAGGAGCTATTTTCCTCCAGTGAGTGCCTTTACTTTATCTAAATTTTCTGAATTTACATACATATTTTATTTGTTTACTTTTATTACTAGACTTACTTTGAACGTAATATTTTTCCAGTGCTGGTTTTCTACTTTTACTTGTGTAAAGCTTCTGAAAACAATTTTATTGTAAATTTGAAAATGATGCTCAGTCAAGTTCAGGTGTTCTTCTTCTCTTCTCCAGACGTCTGTGTGCTGCTGACAGCTGACAGAAATGTCAGAGACCTCCAGCGATGCAGAGTCCTCCTGTGGATGGACTATTATTAGTAATGAGGTATAAATCCTTTCCTCTGTTTATCCTTTATCCTTACCACTTGTTGTCTTATGGTTTTTATCATTTTAATCAGGTCTGCATGGGTCATTAAGTATAAAATGTCAATGAATTGTTGAACATGTTGAAGAGATATGCTACATTACAGTTTCCTGTGTTCTTTCTTCAAGTTTATTTTAGAGTTTTACTAGATAAACAACTTTAACTGTAAACCAGAGTTTGCCGACACTGACAGCACTAGCCTGTTTATGCTTAGTTTTTTTTCCTCATTAACAAGAAAAATTTAAAATATTTTTCTTCATTGATAAAACCTTCAACTTTTTGCTATAGCTGGTCAGTTACAGCTATAATTCATCATTAAATTGTCCTTTTCTGAATAGTTAATTACGGTCAGGTATTTATAAAGAAAGTTCAATGAAGTTCATCCAGTGTGTTTGGTTTTTGAACGTTTGTGTTTGCAGGGTTCAGATATTGAGACTTTGGGATCCGAGACAGCAGTGGAGTACGGAGCTGAGCTGTTAGAGCGCCCTCTGGTGCAAGAACCAGAGGCGCAGGATGTTCAGACATCAGTATCTGCTGGTAAAGCTCCTTCTTCTTCTTCTTTTTTATCCAGATGTGACTTTGATTGGAGTTTGTTTGACACAACACACATTTATGTTCACATTGACAGCTGTGTGTGCAGAAGAAAGGACTGCTGATTCACTGGACAACACTCTGGGAGAACAAACTTTAGATGAGACACTGAACGCCTCAGAGGTGAGAGGACATGAAAATGTCCCCGGAATAATTAATCCAGAGCCTCGTCCCTTCTTCTCGCTGTATAACTTGTCTTCATTGTATCGTCTGCAGGTCGGAGACGAAGCTGCAGGGAAAGAGCCCGTGCTGTCCTCCAGCGACCTCTCCGACATCGTGACTCTGCCAGACTTGAAGGAGGGGGAGCATGCCGAAGTGGAAGAAGAGGCAGCCGTCCATGAAGATCTTTACCTCGGCACCTCCTGCAGCAGCCAGTACGCCTTCAGTGCTGCAGAGACCGGTAGGATGGCGCGCACACACTAAAGACAGCTGATTTTATTACCAACATTAAAACAACAACACAAACATTTCTCCTGTTTGCCAAAGCAGGTTTGTTGTTGAGTCACTGGAAACTTCCACAGACTCTGATGAACTTAAGCAGCCGTCTGAGAAGTCAGCTGACCGGTGGCCGCTCTTTTCCAGGTGGCCTGATTTGAAAATGCAGTGACTCTGATTTGATGCTTAGCTTGGTGAGCAGCGCTCGAAACTAATCCTGATGCAGCTGAATCACTGTGAGGTGATGAGATGCTGTCAGACAGTTTAAAGCCTGTGTGCCTGAGCAAATATGAGGAGTCAAATACTTTGATTTATTTATTAAATTTTTCTGTGTGGAGAAGTGAGATAATAACAATAGCCTGTATGTAAAGCATAGACAGTGGAGAGGGTTTCAAACTACATTTGAAGTCTCATCTGGTTTGTGTGGTATACATTTTTAACACACAGGGGTGTTTATCTTGTGAATTATGGTACCAGAACAGTTAAAATGTCTTGCTGCCTTTAAATGACTGCAGTATTCCTTAGTTTCTTAGTCAGATCTGCCTCGCTCCTCCCATTTGGTTATAAAACCGTGAGATAGGGATAGCCAGGTCCAGGCTGCCAAACTGTCTGTAATCAGCGGTACTGCAGACTCAACTCTGTGGTTTTCTGAATGTGAATGCAGGAACAGTCTCTGGAGTAGCACCAGAGAAGTAGTGTCCTTTAAATTAGTTCTTTCTTTTTAGGAATTGGTGGATAAGTGTGTATGCTTGTGTTTTTCAAACACAGCAACCGAGGAAAGCAAATCTCTGATTAAACAAATAGTTCTAAGCTTTGTTTTTGTTAGTGCTGGCTGATATACCGGTTCTCAAGCAAGCTAAACCAGTGAGCTAGAGCATCCACTGTGGCTTTAAGGTAATATGACAGGGGCCAACAAGTAGTACTCAGGTGCAACTGTCCATTAAAGGTGTAGTTAAACTTCAGGGCAGTGTCACTGGTTCAGCCCATGTAAGATTCAAATGAGCTATATGTGGCCCACAGTGTACAAATGGATCAGGGGTCTCACTGCCAGTAAATGGTATTTATATAGCGCTTTACTAGTCCCTGAGGACCCCAAAGCACTTTACACTTTCAGTCATCCACCCATTCACACACTGGTGATGGCAAGCTACATTGTAGCCACAGCCACCCTGGGGCGCACTGACAGAGGCTTGTTGTCTGCATGATTAACTGCACCAATGCCTGCTTTTTGAAACCGTTTGCATGTGTGCTGTTTTTTGTTTTGTGCTTTTTTTCCTCTCTTCATGTAAAACTTCTCATTTTTTTAACCGTAGTTTTCCCAGTGCAGCCGCCAGCGGTGACAAACTCGAGCAGCAGCGAGGACGAGGCTGGACGCAGCGCCAGCACTGTTGTACGAAGACGAAGGTTGAGGAGGAGTACCACAAACACCGTGACTGACCCAGAGGACGAGGCTGTGTTGGAATCTCGCCCAAGTGATGATGATGATAAAGGGGAGCAGGAGGTTAAAGAACAGAAGCAGCAGCAAGAGGAGGAGGAGACTGAAGTGAGAAGAGCTGCTCGGGATGTTGAAGAGAGAGCCCAAAACAGCAGCATCTTCAAAACGTCAATCCTCATCACTGTCGTAATAGCTGCCTTCCTGTGTTTGGGTCACTTCTATGGTGAGTAGTCCAGCTTTACTGGGATAAATGCAGAAAGTTTTCTTGGACCTCAACTTTAGGGATGTACTGTAGCTCATGTGGTTCCACCTGTTTCCTGTCTACTGTAGGCTGTGGAACTAACGTGTAAAAACTTTCACTTACAGAGAAATACGAGATAAAAAAGAAGCTCTTTGATGATGACTATGTGATGGACCTTACATCCCAGGTCAGTGACTACACAGGTCCCGACTCGAGGAGTAATTTTATTATTTTTGGTAGAACAGTAATCATGAATTTCTGTGCCGTGCTTTTGATTTTTGTAACTTCTTACATGGATAATTTATCACTTTATTTGCTTTTATTCTTAAATCCTTCATAATGCTGTTGTGTGTATGAATTTGATCTACAATTGTGCAGTAAAAAAAGCATTAGAATTTACCAAAAGTCAGACTCAGATTGCTTGGATCCCTGGCTGAGTAGGTACTAAAAGAGTATCTGTTATCAGGTACTACCACCTAATGGAAAACGCTAAAAACCTAGTCAAGCTGAGTTGGTACTAGTGTAACAGAAACTCACAGTCGTAAAGACTAAATGTGGATATTTACCTTCCTCTTATACAGGGGTGTCAAACTCTTTTTAGTTCAGTCCAAATTTAATCTGAAGTGGGGCATTCAAACAAAACACTGCTGCATATTTCTTAACTTATAACTTTATACACTGTGAAAAAGTTCACTTCAACCAGAGCTGAGATTTTAATAAATCTGGAACCAGAAGTCAAAGTGAAAGACATTTAATAGTACTTAATGATTTCACTGCTGTTTCCCACTTTATAAATCTGGCCTCAGGCCTCATGTTGGACACCTCTGCTCTTATAAGATGTGAAAAAAATATAGAACCAACAACCATCTGGGTATTGAGCTTCAGCTCCCATGAACCATATTCATCTTAGATAGATAAAAAAAAATCAAAGATGGAGGAGCCATAAGCAGGACTTTGATGGGCTTGTTTTACTTCTTTTTCTCACTTAGGAAGAGTTGTTCGAGTATGGCATGGAAGAAATGCATGACGACCAAATTCCATTGCTCATGGAGCTTGAGAGTATTAGGAACGAGAACCAGGAGCTCATTCTGAAACAGGCTCATGTTCAGGTAACTGATGGTGACACTCCAAGTTTATAATATTCTGTCAGAGCCACTTCGCATTTTATTTTGAGCATTTTAACTTAATATACATCAATACAAACTTTATATCCCGGGGTTATGTATATGTATGTAATAATATCTTATGTCTGTTCCTCTTTTTCCCATCAAGACCCAGAGAGATAAGTTGGAAATGTTGCTGAAAGAGAAGGAGGAGGAGAACACTAACATGGTGTCTCAGCAGCAGAAGTTAGCAGCTGAGAACCAGCTGCTGAAAAGCTCTCTGCAGCGAGAAGAGATGTCGTTGTCAGCCTTACAGGAGGAGCTGAAGAGTCTGCACTCTAAGATCAGAGATCTGGAGTCGATGGAAGAAGGAGCCGACTTGCTGCTGTCAGAAAACCAGAACCTGAAAGAGCAGCTGGAGGAAGAGAAGCAGGTGACCAGAAGCTTCCACGGCCAGCTGACTAACATGATGGTCGAAACACAGACGCTGAGAAAGAAATTTGACAAAGAGAGGAAGGTCACGGATGAGCTGAGGAGAGAGCTAAGTCAACTGAGAAGTCGATTCCCAGGAGCCGGAAAGGAATTGGGTTCAGAGGCGGAGGAGCTGCAGTCCCGCCTGATGGAGCTGGAGAAGAGACTGAGCTTTGAGCAGCAGCGCTCTGACCTGTGGGAGCGGCTGTATGTGGAGACCAAAGAGGAAAGAGCCAAAGGAGACACAGAGCCCAAAGTGAAAAAACCAAAGCATGGCATGGCGGGAAAAGTGAAGGAGACGTTTGATGCTGTGAAGAACTCCACCAAGGAGTTCGTACACCACCACAAGGAGCAGATTAAGAAAGCCAAAGAGGCTGTGAAGGAGAACCTGAGGAAGTTCTCTGACTCTGTCAAATCCACTTTCAGACATTTCAAGGATTCTGCCTCAACCTTCATCAATAAAGCCCGAGGGTTTTATAAACAGAGAAGCAATGAGAAGAATTCAAGGGAGTCGTGGCAGCACAGATCCCACAAGCCTCATCAACGACACAAACACGACTCTGGCCACAACACCCGGAAGTCAGGAGACAAAGTTCACCAGGACTGGGAGCAAAACACTCACAAAGCCCACATGAAGGGATGCTCCGGGGTTTTCGACTGTGCCTACCAGGAATCCACCAGGCTCTTCAACAAAGCCACAGAGCCAATCAGAGCTGACGAGTTTCACAAGCTGCTGCAGAGCTACCTGCAGCAGGAGGTCGACCACTTCCACCATTGGAAGGAGCTGGAGACGTTCATCAACAACTTCTTCTGCAACGGAGTGTTCATTCACGACCAGATGCTGTTCACAGACTTTGTGAGCGGGGTTGAAAACTTTCTCGCAGACATGCGCAAGTACCACGGCCTCGATGATGACACTTTCGGGGATGTTGATGACTACATCTACAGGCACTTCTTTGGAGAAACAAACACAAAGAGTTACAGCCCGAGGTGAGCGTCCAGAAAGATCCTTTAATTTATTGTTAGGTTGCGTCTGAATAATTTATAAAAGTTCTGGATGGGTGAAAATAAATTCTAGATTAAAGTCATAAATTTACAAAAAAAATCCACCAAATTTCTCGGAAACAGTCCAAGTGAAGCTGTTATAGTGATCTAAACTAAAAATGTGTGAAAAATAACTAAAATAAAAACAACCTTTAAAAATAAAGCCAGCTCCTCTAAATGTTCAATAAACAGTAATAATCAAACTAGAGCGCTCAGACACTTTTACAGCCTCACGCTGACAGGAAAATGGGGCGGAGCTCATCAAAGGTGGCTCGATAACTTTAAGGAAGCAAAATAATGGCTCAATAGTCACACTAGAGTAAAACTATGAAGGTCAGCTCAGTTTTTTCATTACTTTTTTCTTTTCTTTTCTTGCAACTGACTGCAAATTGTTACTTGTGCAACTTTTTGAGCACAAGGCGATTGCACAGGTCACCTGGTGGGTGGAACTCAGACTCCAAACAACCGCAGTCCATCAGAGACTGACTGGTTGGTGAAGAATTGCAATCAATTGCTGTAACTCAAATTACTTGTAAATAATGTAATTTCACTGTTTTCAATCGTTCCTCTTTTTGGTTGAATGTTGTTTGTAGTTCTAAAAATTAATAACTGAAGTAATTTAATCAAAATTCATGTCTGTAGTTTGATTATCACTGTAAATAACTGGTGTAACATACAAATCATAAATGGTTTTTCTCCTTTAGTCCTGCATACAATTCAAACACAGGGATAATTGTATAAACAGTTTTATGAATGATTTATTGGGTTGTACAAGCCTTCATTGGGTGTTTAGATAAGTTGATTGAATCTTTACAATAAAATGTGTACTTGGAGTCCACTTCTGACTTTAAGCTTAAATAGTGGAATACGTACGTGGCATCTTCTACCAGTTCTATTATTCTGATGTCTGCTTACATTTTAGCATTTACACAGGGTCCATTTAAGCCAGGGAGTGAAGGTCATTATTAGAGGCACACCAAGTGCCGTCACCACTAATTACTATTGCCATGGTAACAGGTTTGCACCTGAAAACAAACAAAAAAATACACCTTTTGTCCCCCACAAAGGTTGGGGTTAGGTTAGTTGAGTGAGGACTGAACCTGTTTTCTTCAGCGCTGCAGCCGGTTCATATTAATTTATTTATATCATCACGCTCACAGTGATGTCATTCGTCTGTGTTGTGTTTGAATCATCCAGTGGGCCGTTTGAAGGACCCGAGGCAGACTCAAAGGAGGAATCGAGGACAAAGCAGGAGCAGCGTAAGCAGCAGCGAGCCCGGTCTCGACCCCACAGCGAACGCAAGTGGAGCCGATCAGGAAGAAATGCAGACAGACACATGGCTGACGTGAAGATAGAGCTGGGCCCGATGCCCTTTGACCCCAAATACTGAAGCGATTTCAGCTAGTTTATTACAATGGCTACAAACTTTAGTTGCAAAGTCATCTTTTTTGTTTTTGTAAGTTTGCACAACTTTTGAATGCTACTGAACGGCCTTCAGCTCTTTGGTGTTTGGTGAAGAAATCATTAGGTTGGAGTGGAAGACGCGGCCTAACTACATGTAGCTTGAGTTTATCTAAGATGTTAAACTGAGTCATTCTTTAAATTTTGGCTGGTAAATTTTAGACTGATGAGCACCTCCCTCTTCAGCCCCAACACCTTCATTTAAAAACAGCAGAGACTTAAAAAAAAAAAAGGGGGGGGGGGCCACTTCTGGATGTTTCTGTGTTCAGTTTGATGGTTTTAATTTGCTGCTACACTAACAGCTTTGTGTGATGTGAGAGCTCACATGCTGTTTCCTATCATTCCACCTTTAACTTAATTTAACTGGACAGTTTCACTTGTGATGGAAAAGGAAAAAACTGGAAAAAATAACATTTGAGGAAATATAACTGTATATAAAATGTTTTTTAAATTGATGAAAATTTAAATTGATGAAAATGAATGATAAGATTTAAGTGTAAAATATTTATTTCCATTTGAAAAAGAAAACCCCCCCACATGTTTTGCCATAAGGACAGAAAGTTCCCGTTGTTCCAGTGTTTGTCAGTGCCTTTCATAAATAAAGATGCTTCCTCCGACTCTTCCTTCAGGAAAATGAGTGTGAAATATCTTTGCTGCCCTCACAAAGTTATTCCCTTCCAAAAATACAGAGATTTCCTGTGAAGAAAACACACAAAATGTGCTTAAAAACACTGCAAGCAAAAATTAGAAATGTAATTTGTGTCTTACCTTTTCCAAAACATCAAACATGATCAGATGGGTGGGCAGAGAGGACTTGTATGGGAATGAGGTCCTGAACCAGAGAAGAGGCTCCTCGTAAAATCTCTCAGCTTCATCCACGTAAGCTTCCTCTCCCAGATCTGGAGGACACTCGAGAAATCTCATCTTAATCGGGCAGTGGATGTGGCTGTGAGGAGACAGGACCATCAGCTGCACAGCATCATAATGTGATCGAGGAAATGAGCTCTGAAGACTGACAGAGGACAGCTAAGCACGTTTATATGAATCAATCTTTCGTACCACAACAGATACATTATTAAAACATGTTTCCAGTGTTTTATTTTGAAAACTCTGATTTTAAGTGAATAAATCTTAAATATCAGGTTGAGACAATCCCAAATCTTAAAAACTTGGGATGCTGTGTGAAATGAAAACAACTGAATGCAGTGGTTTGGAAATCTATTGAAACACATCAAATACCTGTAGAAGGGTGTTGAGTGGCAAGGCATGAGAAAGAATACATCCGGCTGTGGACGGGTGGTGGAGACATTGCCTACGTCACAAAGTGGCTGTAGGTGGTTCATGACGTCCAGAGTGCCTCGCTGGTGAATCAGACCAGTGTACAGAGCAGGAATAAGATTGGCCGATAACAAGACGGCTGCTGCAGGTCGACGCCACGATTTCAGATGAGCCAAAGAAATCCCTGTGGAAAGAAAACGTTTATTATATAAACACATCTGGATGGAAATGACCACATACTGCAGTTCTGATGTGAATACGTGACTTACCACAGAAGACCATACAGAAAGGCAGCACTGGATAAATGAATCTGAACTCCTTGTGTGGAAGCACACTGGAAGGAAAAAATAAAACAGGTCAGACTGTCTACCAACCAGGACCCACAGGAAGCTTTATAGGAAGCTGTTACATAACAAGTAGCTGGAATTTAAACAGGTTTCACACTGTTAAAAAAAATAAAGAAAAACGTTTGCAAATGTCTTAGGAGAACTCAAAATGAACAAAGGGTTTTGTTGAGCGTAAAAATAAATAAATTTGCACCGAGATCTTTAAACCATCAATTTAAACTCCGTCCCTTCTCCTCTTCTTTGACTATGTGACATCCTGGATGTCTAGAACAGAAACAGGTGAGCAAAAGAAAAAAAAATATTGGCTGATCTATCAACTTTTTAAATCACCAAAATAAAATTGGTATCATAAATAATAAATGAGTCAGACTCTAAATCAAACTGAATGGTGAAGTGAATAAGGCTGTTTGCCTTTAAGTTACAATGTTCTGTTGGAAAAAATCTGGCTCGTGACATTTGTGCAGAAGTCTCTTTGACGAGCACCACCAACATAAATGTTTTAAATGGGCCAAACACACTATGCACGCTCTGCAACACCAAAAAATGCCAGAGAACATGAAAAGAGCTAAAGCCACAGACACGGCCTCCAATTCGCCCAGATCCAAAATCCACACATACATGCGTTGAAAGAAACTCCACCCATAGAAGGCTCCACTCTGCAGCCAATCGGGGTCCAAACAGACATCAAATATTTCACACTAATCTTTTTTTTAAAGAATAAAAATAAGGGGCAAAGGAAACTCTGCATTTGTGTTTAATAACCATAAGCCAGCATCAAAAGAACAGGTAAGCAGTGTGTGTTGCAGCTTCACCTGTAAACTGCGATGGTCCAGACGACAGCTGCCAGCAGGATTTTGTATCTCTTGAAGGCGAGCATGCAACCGTGAAGAAAGAGCGGGAGATGAGGGCCGATCACCACGGCAAAGCCCTGAGTGAGGTACCAGTGCCAGGGGTGAGAGCCGTAGAAATCAGCCACACCGTGCAAGATGTTAAACTTGAGGAAGTTAAACTGCACTGGTGTCCACTGGAAAACAGAAAGGAGCCGTTACAGCCAACCGACTTCATGCTG